CGAGCACAAATCAGATTTGAAACACAGCAGAATGAATTCTTCTACCGTAGCTGATCACTGTTACAACGCTGTGGGTGATCACGATATAGTGTTCTCTGATACCCAGGTCCTTTGCAAACCCACAGGTTATCATCAGAGATTTGTCCACGAGGCAATTCAGATTTACAAACACAGACACAATTTCAACCGAGAAGATGCTTTCAAATGAAGCAATCATTGGAAAGATGTTCTAAATCATACCAAACATTAAACTAATTTCAATGGTACAGTATATTTATCCAGTAGCGATATTCCAAACTTTCACAGCAGCTTATTTCCCTTCAACACAACGTTTGCATTGTCAAATTCCCCTCCCCCTCCCCCCGTGTTTTGTGTTCTATCAGCACTTTAAGTGTTCAATCATCACTTATGCTAATTCCTTTGTCAAAGCGTTTGGTTTCCTCCCACACAGCTTAAATGACGCGACCTGGGCTTGACTTTCTTGATTCCAACGCTGTCTTCGTGACAGCATAGTCCCTTCACCTGATGAAGGCCACTTGTGTTGTGGCCGAAACGTCGTGATTTTTGTTGTTTTATTTTTTACCGACGTGACTTTACCGAATAGAACCAAAGAGTATGGATCCTTGCAGCCACGAAAGCTTCAAATCTAGAATTAATTTCCAAATGTTTAAACATGAACAAAAAATAATATTGACTTAATTGAAACAGCAGATACTATATAGATTGTAGGCATACATTGGATTTTAATTAAATACTCAAATGGCTTTGCATATTAATAAACATTAACACTGGATGCTTTTTCTAATTCAGGTATATTGCGCATCGAAAATAAAATAACTTGCACATTTATTTGTACTCAGTTGATTTAAAAATATCTTCAAGGTCCAGTACACTTTTGTTTTTATTTGTTCATGATTTTGAAACGTGTTATTTAATTTACATGATAAGGTTAGGATCGTTATATATTTAAAAAAAATAATGCAAAGGTATTAATTATGCAATGCTTTGAATGTGAGTTTGTCTTCTAAAGTCTGTGTTTGGCTGTATGGAAGGTAACGGGCAGGTGTCAGTGCAAAACACGTTGACATATTTGCAAACACTGTTGTTATTTTTGTTCTGTTTCGTCTCAAGGTTGCTGGACACCCCTGGATCAATTTGGCCGGTTTGCAATAGAGTTAGTCACAGTTACAGGCACACTGACAAACAAAGTGACTAACGTTTATTAACTTAAAACTGATCTCTTTCCAAAACATGTCTTAGAGCTTCGATTTTATTTTTCTCCATAACTGATTAACTTGACACTGATATGTCTCATTGTTGCTTGAGGGTTAATAATTATTAAACTGTACATTTATTAAATATTTGAATTTGTTTTAGGAATCCTTGTTAATCAATCTGATCTGTAAAGATTAGTTTTGCAAGGTGTCTTATGCTCATTCAGGACAACATTAGGAACAAATACCATTTGGACATGTAATGTTTGACCGATAAACATTATAGTCTTATGGATATTAATTGTTAATACTAAACTTACAATTCCAATGTAGATCAGTGGAATTAGCAAAACATGATCCAAATAACCGAATCAATAGTTTAAAGGTCATATCACTATCCATATCTGTGGATATGTGTCAGGGTGCAGAATTTAAAACATTGTTTCGTCAGCTTTTTTCTTTAAAAATGCCCGCTGTGTCATTCACTTCAGTATGACCTTGCACCGATGCAGTTACATTGCTGAATGTCATTTTAAATAGTTTTTCTGCAGTTCACGGCCTTCAAAAGTATCCCCCAGTACAGTCAAAACCTTGTAACAATAATGAGATGCGTCCCACTACCTATGCGAGTGTATTTTTAAAATTGGAAGGCCATGAGTTCGTCTCAATCAGAAATTGACTTGTTACACTCTATTTGTATGCTCCCATATCTATGCCCCCTGCCTTCACAGCCGAAACTGAGTGCCGTGGTGAAGAATAGTCAAACAACCCTCACAAACCGTATTGCATGGACAGGCCCTCATCCAGCAGTGATTTATCAAAGGGCTGCCACGGTATGAATAGCGAGATAATTGCGACTTTTCCGTTAAGACCTTTGTAAATTAAATATCTTGACCAATTAATTATTTACCATGATAATCTTAAGGATTTTAAACAAATTACTAACTGTCTTTCCTTGACTATAATTTTTGGAATTGGTCGTTGCGAAAACTTTCGTGAAATGAAGAAATGTTTTGGGTAACATTCTTTTGACCTTTGTCTCTGTGCATGAGGTCTGTGAGTATATCCCCCACCTTTTAATTAATTATAAAATCATGCTGGGGACAATTAATGTTGTAGTGATGATTTGTAATCATATGTAAAGTACTCTTAATCATCGACCACTCCGCAAAAACACTACTTTTGCCAGCCATTCTCATGATTATCACGTGTAGTGATTATTATCAGACGAACTCCTATAAAATAAAATAAAACAAAAAAATAATATATCACGGCGTTTCGATCGCAACACAAGCGGTCGTCCTCGGGCGGAAAAAAATAATCCAGCAGTGGAACTGGACGGCACTGCGTAAAAAGTTGTACAAAACTGTCAATTTTTCTTGCTTTGCCACGTACCGGTTTTCTGAAAGAAACCAATAAATTCGCGCACTTGCCCACACAACAACTTGATTTGTTTGGTTTCGTCGAGGTTTGGAGGGTCAGCCATGATCAATTCAACTGCTGAATGAAGGCCTACCCAAGCCACTGCCATCTCTCATGCTCAGGAAATGCAGAAATCCATCCAGGCAGCTGTGCTCGAGCTGATTTCATTGCTCCATCTACTCAGTTTATATCTTCTCCGATGCGTTCAATTCCTTTTGCTACCACTTGTTTATCTTGAATAATTGGCTATCATCTCGTCTCGCAACGTGACCTGCCCAAGCCTATTTTGTTTTCTTAAGTAAATATGGTGTTTTAACCTATAGCTGAGGACAAACACAGGTTGGAAAACATTAAGTACTCTTTCCGTATTGTCATGTTGGTAGGTCTTAATTATTTAATCTCTGGCTTTGAGTTCAACAAAGCCTATGGGCAACCCTAAACAGTATTGTCACAAACCATGGCAGACGTGAATACTCAATGCACAAATTAAAAATGTAAAACTCCCCAGTGTGCGACTGTCATCACCCAGAACAGAACCATCAAACTATAGCGACTCAAAGCCCGATTCACAAATGCAAAGGAGGCACCTCAGTGATACACTCCGCTACTCCTGATATAATCAACCACGTCAATATAAAATTATAGCTGTTGCTCTACATCAACATCAGCAATACGATTAACAATAACTTTAATGGAATCATGATTCTCGCTGTTTCGTTTTCCAGGGGTATGTTATTTTTTTATTTTAAATTTCAAGACCTCACATCCCAAAGTGCATAGACCCACGTCCGATTAGCAGGGTTGGCAATGTACGGTGCGAACGAAGTTCAACATACATACATCTCGCCAGGAGGAAACAGACTAAGAATTGTATTATGTAGTATATCATATTCAATAACGTCAAAGTATCAACCAGTATATCAGAATAACATTGAGCTCTACGCTTGTTGCAACATATCAGATAGTACACGTGCATACACACAACAAAACTAAGACCTGCCCACAAGTCAGAATCTTATCCTCCTTCAGTGTCAACACGACAATACCTTCAAAGCGCAAGCAAGTGATGCCTTAGTGCGCCACCAGATATCTTCCAACTGACGTCTGTCTCTCATTGTAATTCCCACCATGCATCTGTACACACTTGTTTGTGCAGTTGTATACTTTTATTAAATGTTTTGGTAGTCACCAGATTTATGATTCATGTCATAGCTGCCAAACGCTATTCTTAAGGCACATTGGCATGATTTGCATTTTGACTACAAGTATTGTGGTTAATGCACACATGATTTATTGTAAAAAGGTTTCAGTTTTTTTGCCATAAAAAAGGGAAAAACCCTATTATTATGCTTTGGTACTGGAAAAGGAGGTCTAATGATATAGATGCTTACCCCGAGCCCTCATTACTTTGATAGTGCATTGTCTTCGAGCTGTGTGACGCCTTTTGGCGTCCTCTGAAAAAAAGGGGAAAAAGAGGGGGGACCCCTATTATTGTAATGTTTTTCATTATGTATTCTTGATTTCATAATTTATCCTGAGTTACAGGTTATATCCCTCCAACAATCATTTGACAAATAATAGACATGGCACATTTAAGATAAAAAAGCGTTTAGCTAATTAAACTAAATGTATGGGAGAAATTAGGCCAACTCAGCCTATAGACTCATTGTGCATTAATTTTGTTTTGCGCAAGTTGAGCAAAAAAACGAAAGTCAGCACAAAGCAGTAACACACCCACTCGTTATGGACACTGCTGCAGGATATTAAATATGCAGCATGATACATATCCACATCACCACGTTTTTTTGTACTGACAGGCTTTGCGGAGTTTTTCCATCTCATTCTGAACCTCCAATTGGCAGTGATTATTTTCAGGCACCATCGTTACGAACGCCATTCAGGGGATTATTTCAGCACGCTGCACCTATTTCGCTTCATGTTATCTTTAGAATTGAAAAAGAAAACGTTCACAGCATTATAGGTCAAATATTGTACATAAATTATAGGGTGATGGATAGGCGTGCCGAGTACTCTCGTGGTTAGTACCTTATGCCGGCATTCCCTACAGCATTCCAAGAACTATCGGGCGAGGACATGAGGTCTGAAAATTGCTGTCCAGGACAGAAATCTTCACTTAAAACTTTTGTGGCTGCAGGAATTCATATTCTTGGTTCTTTCGATAAAGTCACGTAGATATAATAAAAACAAAAATACTTTATTTATATGAAAATAAATACTATTTTTTATTGAATTTACTTTTATTTTTATATATATTTTTTTCTATCTACGTGCCTTTACGGAAAGAACCAAGAATAATGAATCTTCACCTCGATGCGGGATGGGGGTGGTGTGATTGCGTTGTGACGTCACGCCGTGGATGTGAACATTTTGCTGAACGCGCGGCCGCTCGGCGCACTGCGAGTCAGTGAGTTGGGACAAGCGCGTGAACCAAAACAAAATCCGACTCGGGTGAGCAGCAATCGCTCTCACACACTCTCACACACACACACCGGCCTGCCAGTCACAGAGTGTAATAACTATAGATGATCGTCTCCGGGGAGAGAATAATAGTGTTTGGTGTTTACGACGTGAATTTGATTTTTTTGTTTTATCACCGTGTGTAAAATGTGTTTATTTAACGTTCCGTTCATTCCACGTGATTATTATTACCGTGTGAAAATAAGGGACGCGTCGCGAGATCATTGGGTGGAAGTCATTCGGATGTCCGCGTGGATCGATGATGATGATGATGGTAACCACGTTTGCGCACCAGGTTTCCGTGTCAATTACAACAGCTAACATCTGAGGCAAGTGCTATTTTAATTGTTTCTACTTCCCCTCCACCCACCCCCATCGTCCTCAAACCCCTACTTTTATTCACCAACAAGTACTGCGCCTGCATGGTGAAGTACGGTCAAACAACCCCGCATGGCTGACGCGTCGTGCGGTAGGCCGTCACTCGGCGGTGGATTGACAAAAGGGGGCTGTGAAGTCGAGCGAAGAATACAATTCAAAAGATTACTCGTGTGAGAGGATGTGCTTTGAATTAGTCGCAGTGGCGTTTCTAGTGGAACGGGCTTGCTTGTGTCGCTGTTGCTGCTGCAAGGATCTAAACACACAAGACGTGCACTGTGTGGATGTACTTGTAAACAGAGCGGGGCATACTGACCATGATTATGTTTACACCTGCAGCGGTCTTATATGTCAAGTTGTTGTTCTATTGAAACCGCTGCAGTAGCAGGAACTGAAGGTTGAGTGATGTGCAACGGCTCAAAGCTCTCCGCTCAGTGTGCTAAAAACTCAACAAGGCATGCGGTACTAAGTGCACTTAATCAGGTATACATGTATTTCAAAAAATGCATTGTTACTTTTGTTCAATAATGGAACCGCATGTTTATAAATGGAGGCTTTATCACATTGTGATTTATAAATGAGATCTGATAATACAAAAAAGCCTGCCTTTAATGTTTTCATAGGTATTTAAAAGTGTGGTGGTTCTGATAGGTTTGTCAAGACAAAATGTTCACAGATAGCAGTTCTCCTGCTGTGTTTGTTTCACCCGATAACGGTTGCTTATGTTGCGATCGAAACGTTGTGATCTATTAGTTTTCTATCTACGTGACCTTACCAAAAGAACCGAGGAGTATGTTCACAGATTGGTTCTACAGTTTGGGGATTCTCAGTTGAAGGAAGTGGGGAGGCCTTCATCCAGCAGTGGATTGACAAAATCTCTGTATAGCTAACATCAGTGATGATATATAAACCAGTCTTCGCCCTCCCCCATTTACCAGCCCGCACTGACCAGTGTGGTGAAGTATGGTCAGGTAACTCCCATCACCTGGGATCGGCAACCAAAATAACAAGAGCAGCCATTTTTTTCGAATTCGTAAAAAACCCCACAACATTTCAGAAGCCGCAATGCATCTGAATACGAGACGGTGGTCCTTAATAAGGTCACGAAGCAGTCCTTAAAGAGCATCACGCGGCTCCGGAGCCACAGATTTCCAACTCCTGCCCAAGGCCCTTTCAGTGTATGAGGACACACCAAAGTGTGTTGTCATTATTGCATAGTACAGCACTGTTGAGTTGGGGTGGGGAGCAGTGGTCCGCACTAGGCGCTATGAACACCAAAACGATGTGACACAAATGTTGAAGCATGGATTCTGGTAAATACGATGGGAGAAATGCTGGAAAATAAAGGATAGAGAGATGCACTTTTTTGGGAGTTTACTGAGACATCTTTCTTGACCTATCATTGCTTCGATATCAATCAATAACTCCATTGAAACGTAGTACGTAAAAATCCATAATCTGTTATAATGGTGATTCCAAGATGCCGGCCAAGCCCCATGAGTCCTTCATCACCGAACTGTAATAATACTATTGATTGGTTTATTTTATCTCGTGTGATTCACGTAAATTGCATCTACCAATTGTCGGGAAACCACAGACAAGCTGAAAGGCAGCCAAACAGTGGGTTTGCACCAACAATTGTCCAGGCTCTGCGGTTTTCTCTATATGAATACGTTTTCAGCCAATTAATGAACGGTCATACGTAGTTCAGCAGAATAGATCGTATATCAAAATCCCAGTAATACTCGGTGATATGGGAGGGACCATATCGCGGATCTCATAATCTCGGGTGCACCACGATGATTAGTCCTGTGTAAATGGTGCGCCGGTGCGATATGCCACCAATTACAGCAGGAATTAGACGCGAAATTCCATTAATTAATGAACAAATTCCCAGATTAGGGGGGAAACTACTGGGATATCAAGTCTAAAAAAAGCAAAGAATTATTTCACACTGAACCAGTGTTTAAATAAAAAGATAATAGAGTTCACATTGCAATGAAGCTGGCACCTTCTTGAAACGCATTGTGCTTTAAAAATAAAGTATGATAACAAATTGACCTCATCTACTGTTAACGCTATGTGCCACAGATTTTGGGAGGAGCTGTCAATGACGGATGCTCCACTGAAGGAATTTTCTGAATATTTGAGGGTTCATTTTTTTTACTCTTGCTATAAGAAGGCAGCAGTGGTTGGCTGATATGAGACTCTCCTAAAAATGATTTGTACAAGAGCATTTAGCATATGTACATTATCCAATACACTACATAAATAACCATTATACAAAAATCTGTATTCTATAAATTTAGTACAACAATAAATAGGGAGTTAAATCTACATACTGTATTTTCGCTAGGTTATGTCATTATCACTCTTCATTACCACCAAATGTAGCTGCCCCTAAGCCATATGCATTATGTCAGCACACTCTGTTAACTCTATTCACTTGCTCGCGAATCTCCCCCGACCTGTCCATATGAAGTGGACTGTCACATCTCTTCTCATAGTACTCGAATCAACGTAACTTTTCACCTGTCACTTACATTACTCTCTGGCAGGTATATCTCCTGGCATCCTCACTCCTCTTAGGGCGGTGGTGGGCATGCATGCCTGTGATCCAGCAGTGGAGGCGAGGGTTGGTGGATCTCAAAAATGTTTGTGAAACTCCCTTTGCCGTGGGCATCAAGGAAGAATACCCTGGGTCACCAGTAGCAAGCAGTACAGCTAAAATATGGACTCCACCTATTGTCTGTATGGAATAAGAGTGCTTCCCACACGCACGCGTGGGTTTTATCTACGTGCTCTAGTTTCCTCCCACATGTAAACGCTCATTAATTGGCCAATAACGCCTTCATATATGGATGACCGTAGAGCTTGAGATAATTTTGGCGTCGGATCACCATGTGGCTGCCTTCTCGCGTGCCTGCGGTTCCTCGCGCCTCTTGATTCGATCTCTCTCTGTGTGAGAGTGGGCGAATACTGTGCGCATCACAAGTCGAAATGATGATTATTACACCAGGAAGGCATATCTCCTCTGCTACCCGAACTCGCTCTTCTCCCCCAGTACTCGTCAGTACGCACCCTTTCCTCTCCGCGATTGGGGCCGAGCTCTTAGCGACCATCCTATGAGCGAGATCCCCGAACCAGGTTCCCCTCGTCAGTGGTTATATTACATCCTCGCTTGTGTCCCCAAGGTTAAACATGTATCCATATATTTCCCAGCCTTCCTCCAATTAACCTACTTCCTGCTCCATAAAACCTCACTTACGTAACTCAACCATTCACAATCACTACGCCACGTAAACGTGAGTGCCCGCATAATGTGATGGACATTAGTGAATTTCTGTTGAGTGTTCGATGAGAGTGAGGTAATGGGTTAGTGTTACACGTCTTATCAGTCAGAAGATGCATTTATGTAATCTCGCTGACATATATAAATAAATAAATCCGACATGTCTCCCAAGCTCTCGATGATTGGGCCATGTTCGTATACTCTATAGAACAATCAAGAACATATTTTCCTTAGTCATTATTCTTGATGCATAACACCACATCATGGCCCCAGGCCGTTTACTGCATGTACCCAGGATACAGAACTCATTAACGCGACTCACAAGCATTTTTTTTGCTACACGACCTGTGTTTCGGAAACGTTTAAATAATGTAGCTTTGTACATTTTACCACCATGAACGCAACCGATAAATTAATGCTACAAGTATAATTCTTATTTGTTGCTTCAGGTTCTATAGCTGCTACGTGTTGTGCATTATCGTGCACTGGGATTCACTGGCCAGTACTGTCTGAACGGCTGTTTAAAAAGATCAATCGCTGCTGCTATTGTGGTGATTCATTCTCCTGTCTGAGGGATGTATATCCATCAGTGTTGCTTTGTTTATATATAAGTTATTACATTGTACAACACTGTAATGCTAATTGTCCAAATGTGTAGTTATTTTCAAATAGATTGTTATATTGTATTTTTGGTTTCAGTGACAATGTGCTATTATTTCTGACTAGCCTATAGCCCGTCCAAGGATGGGTGTATTGCAGTAAATCTGAAACCTGCAAGCGAAAATCAGACCGCGACGTGATAGTCATTGCATCAATGCGTGTGCAATTTGTAAAACCCCGGTGACACAGACTTATTTCATTTTAGGGTTATAATCCCTTGTTCATCATGACGTCCTTTTTACTTTGATGTCTCAATAGCGTGACGGAGATCACGTGACGTAAGGGTTCTGCCTTTGTAGTGAGGGTTGTCAGTTGACGCCGAGGAGGGGGAGGAGGCGCCTCGCCCCCCCCCCCCTGTGAAGTGATGTCAGCCGCTAATTATTATTAATGGCGGGGGTCCATATTATTTGGTCCTTTCGGTAAAGTCACGTAGATAGCAAATAAAATTTAAATAAAATAAAATGTAAAAGAAGATGAAAATAAAATGAAAAATAAAAGCAAAAAAACCCACGACGTTTCGGTCTTCAACAGGCAGAGAGAAAAGAGGGGGCAAACCTCCAAATGCAACTGCTTATAAGGGCTTCCAAAGTTGTGAGTGTGCAGAGGATTAGAGTTGCGAGGAGGAAAGTTGTGCGGCGTAAACAGCATCGATGGGGCAGCCAAT